AAGTAGGTTATGTTTTCATTTTCAGTTGCCTTTAGGACTATGATCTGGAGCATGCTGATACCATTAGCAGCTGTTGGCAGTCCAAAATGGTAATATTGGCTCAAACACACCAGGTAGTTTTTCCTATAACTGCCTGATTTTGAAGTAACAGCATAAGGATCTATCCATTTACCGGCCTTTCAGAATCTCTCCTAGATTTCAAGGGGTGCCAAATGCCAACCATCCTGAATTTGTGGGCGTGTACATTATATTAAGTGCCTGGGTTAACAAAAACTATTCAGGCTCATTAGTTACGTAAAATATAGATGAAATTGTTCCAGTTTGGCTGTAAAAGGCATGCTGCCATGGAAACAAACTTTAAAATTTAAATTCCAGGCACCTTTTTACTATTTGAGCAAATGCTTCGAATTCTGAATGTTATACAAGGCAATCATCTGTAAGCATCATCACAATTTTCAAATTCTTCTGCTGCGTATTTATTCAGTAGTTAAATGCTTGGTAGATCTACAAATATTTCTCCCCGAGCTTTATCACCTACCTAAACTATCACTTCTTTACTTGTATGGACCTGGGCCAAACCTGTCAATAGTACTTGATCACAAATCTAAGTCCTGAGGATTACAATCAATTTTTAAAATATTTATCTTTCATGTGTACATCGTTGATTACCCTTGAAAGTGGTGATGAGCCTTTCCTTTGAATGGCTGCAGTCCATCTATTGTAGGTACACGCACAACGGTATTAGGAAGTTCCAGGTTTTTGATCCAGTGAAGGAGCAGCAATATAACTCCACAGCAGGATGGTGTGCAGCTTCGAGGGAAACTCTCAGCTGCCAGTGATTCAGTACAAGTGTCAAATGACCAAGTCTGATCATGCACAAAAACTCAAGGATGGAGCTTTGAGTGTCATTACATGATCCAAGGGACTTCACAGAAATGTGTATCAAATAGAGTGTCTCTTTTGGTTTGATATTCCAGGACAGGTAAACTAAAGCTTGGTCAAAGAGTTAGGTTTTAAGGAATGTTTTAAAAAGGAAAGGCATAGACGGGGTGAGGTTTAAATAGAGTCTTGAAGCTCAGCAGCTGAAGGCATGACCACAAATCGTGGAGTAATCAAAATCAGGGATATGCAAGAAGCCAGAATTGAAAAAAGCACAAATGTCACAGCAGGGTATAGGGGTGGGGGATGTTAGAGGTAGGGATAGTGAAGGGCGTGACAGAATTTGGAAACAGGATGATTTTTAAGGAAAACGTGTCAAAGCACAGCTGGAGCAGGGATCTATGGGCACATGGTGAATAAATGTGACTTGCTGAGGTTAGGATTTGTAAAGTAGTATTTTGGATGATGTCAAGTTTACAAAGGATACAAGGTGCGACACAGACCAGCATAACATTAGAAAAGCTGAGTCCAGAGACAACAATGAATGACTGTTTCTGCAGCATGAGGTGGAAAAAGGCAGTTTCAGAGACAGGAGAGAATGTGGCAGGAAGCTTATCCCAGGTCAGAGAGCAGAAAAGCCCAATACACTAAAAAATGTTCCTACAATTTCCCCGCTTGTTTTAACATGACTGTCCTCAAGTTTTGCGAGCCAGTTCAGTTCCTTCATGATCGTTTTGTCCAAACTATGGCTTTGAGCTCAAAGTATCCACACCCTATTAAAACCAGCTCCTTTTTGTGATTTTATTCCTCCTCTCCACTCGAAACTATTTGCATTGTACAGGCCTGTTGGTTTGAAACAGTTTGGTCATAGGTCTGCTTCCTCGCTGGTAAACATAGCTTGAGTACAACATGCAGGCTCCAAACCAGATCATCACAATATTCACACTGGAGGGAATCAGCAGCATGAGAAGTAAAGCAAGCCGGATGATCAACAATAACGACATTTCAATCATGGTGCAAAATATTTGTGCTGACCCAAAAAATCAAGTTTGTACAACTCGAAGACATAATGATATGCCAAACATGCACAAGACAATTAACATTCATGCAAAACGTTGTTATTATTTGACAAGAAAATCTCAAAATAAGGAAAGCCATTACAGTAGAATTGAGCTTCTTCTGAACTGTGAATGGCTTTAGGATTATGTTTGGAATTCATTTTCTTGTTGCAAACCCATTTTTGCCATGTAACTTTCTTCTAATACCTATAACTTTATTAGGAAAATCAATATGGCAGAGGGAACTGTTGAGACTTATGTACCAAAAGTTAGATACCTTAAAACCTTGTCTCTTTGTCATTCATTGTATAACATAGTACAAGCTAGCAATAAAAAAATCATAGATAACAAGGTGTAGAGCTGGATGAACACAGCAGGCCAAGCAGTATCAGAGGAGCAGGAAGGCTGACGTTCCGGGCCTAGACCCTACTATCTCCGAAGTAAAAAAATCATGTTTTTGCATGCATATAAACTATAAACTGTGTATGTGTGCTTGTGCATGTGTGTACGTGTGTGTCCATATATTTTAAAAATTAGCTAACACATACTGAGCACCTATCACAATCATAACATTTCACAACCAGTTCAATGCTTCAGAGTTTTCACTTATGACTAGGAAATCCTATACAGAGGATCAAACTGGAAATTGAGCAAATTTTGAAGATTAGAATTCACTGTTTTCAGCCATTTCCAATACATAAATTAATAGGAAATATTTAAACTTAACTGAGCCAAAAGTCAAAACCAAAAAAACAAAAATCACACTTCCCCACCCATCTCAAGTTCATGACTAAGGTACAACACACACAGTTACACGTTTTCAGCTTGCAAACACAATTATTTACTTATATAACAATTTCATTTGCCACATGCTACCACAAGATATTGTTACAACCAAGTGAGAAGGGGTGAATTGGGTCTGCTCTTTCTTACCCGGCTGTTGGTTGAAACAAAGATTTTATTGTTTTTTGCATACAGCAGTATACTTCAATTAAAACCTAACATACTCATTCAGAATTAAGGGGTCAATAACAAGGATTTCTTGACTGAAAAGGGATTTTCATTATTTATGTTATGAGCCTGCTGATAATAGTAGACAGGTCTGATTCTATAGTGGGAACCAGTTTGGTACTCCATAAAAATTTTTAATGTTACAATTTCCTTACTGAACATATTTACACAAGACTGTCCACGAATTTTTAACAGAAAAGCATAGTCTAGAGATAGAGAATCCACCCTTTTGCCCTAAACAACAAGCTTAAGATATACTCAATCCTCAGTGAAAGGTCACTATTTCCAGTTAAATGCTCCTTCTTCAGTTGGCACAGGTACAATTAGTTTCTTCTTGACAAACTTCAGTATTCACTCCATGCTATTTCTTTAGGTAATGTCTCTTCCCAAGACCTTTAAAAGAAACTTAATATAGCTCACTTATTTCTTAACATGGGCTCTTACAACTCTTCATTCACAGCCTTCTGTTTCTGGAAATTTTCTATGACTGACCTTAAGCAGCTTAAGACTTCTTTTCTACTGCTCTGACTATTTGAGGATTGCTAAACTGCACTGCTGATAATAAAAAAATCACAGGATGTAATTAAAATCAAACCAATCCTTGTCTGCGATCATAACAGTTGTCAACTGTCTAATCTGGGCCCCTAGTCTGTATAGGTTAGTCAAACCTGCACTCTCATCCACAGTGGAACAGGGAAAATGACTGACAAAAAAAACGTATTTTCAACCTAATCGCAAAACATTGTTTTTCTTCCTTCAAGACAAAATTTCCATCTAAAGTACATGTTGTTGATAAAGCAACATTGAATATTTAGAATATAAAAAGTCTGAACTTTAACTTTCATTACCCTCTTACCAGAAATTAAGCAACATTACTCCACTTACAAAGGAACCACAATCTAACGGATTTTACAAATTAAAAACAAATCTCATTTTTGTTGACTACATTCAGTTATGGCAATATCTGCTTTCTGCCACTGGATGCCATCTGCCACTCAAAGTGGACCCTCCTGGATGACAACAAGTACTATAACACCAGTACAACAGCTGACTCAAAAGGCTAACTGTGAGCAACATGAGCATTAAAGGGATAGGATTGAAAGACCATACATTCATTCCTTGCTCAACTGCTGGTCAAAACTACAGAACCAGTTAAGAGGACAAAGTAAAGGAATTTTCTGCTGCAGAGATATTTCAGTACCAAAAAGCTGTATGCGTACAGCAGCATTAACATTATTGAACATCTTGGGGTGCTCAAAACTGTATTATATAACATAAATGTCCAATAACAGGTTATTAGGCCTGATGACCACAAACTTGATCAAAGAGTTAAGTTTTAGGCAGCATCTCTAAAGAAGATAGAGAAGTAGACAGGTAGAGAGATGTTGGGAGTGGAAGTCCAGACCTTGTGGCCTAAATAATTGACAACGCAACCACCAGTGGTGGAGCAATTAAAATGGTGATCCACAAGTAGCCAAAGTTATAGGAAAGCAGATATCTTGGAGGGCTGTGGGGCTAGAGGTGGTTTGAAATGGAGAGAGGTGTTGATAGGATACCAAATGATTACGTTGGTCAGCTGTCCTTTTCCTCGATTTCTTTGTGTCCTGTAGCCATACTAAAATTTATGCTTCCACCCGACTGAAATTGTGTAATTGAAGGAAAAGGTGGAACAGGCTCAAAAAAGGGCTGAATGGCCGACTCCTGCTCCTACTTTCTTTGTAACTTCAAGTTTCCAACACCACTCTGATTTTCACTGCAAGATGATGTAGAGCTAATAGTGACAAGGAAGGTTGAGAAGTTGGGATTTTGACTCACGTTAGATAAAATAACTGTTGAGCACGTGTTTTTACAGCAGGCTGCCATGAACAGTAGATTAAATTTCAGCTCCCATCAGAAAATGACCTAAACAATAACCTGCTGAACCTACATTTTAGAAGATTTTTCTGAATGCCTAACACATGAACACACTTACCTGTTGTAAGGTACAATTGGTCCAATTTCTACTGTACAATGACAATGATTAAAAATCGAAGTAAATTTCCAGACAGTGTGTACTTGCAGAGCTGTAAATTTATTCCACCGATAATGGCGAAAATAGGTTGCAAACTGCCATTATAAATATTTACAATGAATTGCAGCAGTTTCCATTTTATAAAAATAAGTCATTTCAAGCACAGAGCGCCTTGGTATGATTATTACCAATTATTCTTGCTAGGTGCCATTGTCCATATTATCTGAATCAGTAATTCATTCTTATTTAAGTATGACGAGGGTGCAGACTCATGTTACAAAATCCATTTCTCACCTATAAATGCCCTTGTAACAAATGTTCTACATGATGACAATAAAATAAAACCAAGAATTGGAGCAAGATGTCCCCATATCTGTACTGACTGGATTTGTTTAGAACCATTTTGTTCCCAGGAAATTATAAATATAAAGCAACCGAACACATCTTTGGTAGTTAGGGTTGCTGTTAAAAAAGTCAACTCCGTAAAACCACATTGTCTTTAAAATGTGTCAGAAATGTCAGCAAGTTCATTTGTGTGTTTAGTTGGTACTTTCACAACACCCATTTGAAGCAGCCAACCGTACTATTCCCTGTCTGCAGTTGATGTGCCTTGATTTGTTGTCAATCACTGCCCCAATCATACAGAGGGCGTCTTTGGCGGATGCACCTGCTGAAGCAGTAGAGGACGTTTGACCCGTGGCTTCCGTCTCTTTGGCTTGCTTTTAGACTTTATCTGCACCACAAAGAATGCCAGCACCACCATAGCACCAAGGAAAGCAAAGACCGGAATTGTCTGTCCAACATCTTGGTTATATCGACCAGGCATTATACCTAAAGAGCAAACAAATTACAATTAAATGCCAAAGTACTCAACTCCCATCATTTAGTTAATACAGAAAAAGAAAATGACAACTCATATGGATGAGGCCTCTATTACTGAGATGTAGACCAATAAAACAAGGAGTTATTTTCTGCAAGTGTCATGGAAGATCCAAGAAAGAACAGACACTGATATTGAAGTATCTTTCCACTAAGGACAAATGAGACATCTCTAATAATGTAGCTTCTCTTCCCTCAAAAAACATCCTAAAAATTGAAAATAGCATTGCATTAGCAGTGAATAAAAAGGGAATGCAGATAATCAGACTATTCTAAAAGTAGAAACTGAAATACCCAGGACAGCAATGCACCTGCAATAAAATTATACACAATGGATCCAGTAAGTATACTTAGTTCAACTTCTCAGTAGCTTGGTTGTGTTCCAGATATAATAAAGAATACAATAAAGTTAAGCTAGCTTTAATAATTCCTGTTCTCCAAACTACAACGATTAGTACAGTCCCAATTCAATACCCTATGGTATAGGTGAGCTCCTAGCTTATAACTTAAATATTCAGCCAGTTACCCAAGACAGTTAGTTATGGGATTGAATTTTATTTTCCCATTTGGATTGTGATCCTGACTTCAGCCTAAAGTCCAGGACAGGAACCCATGACAAAATGTTAAAAGCAATTTGTCCCAGAGTTGCCCGATTAAGAAGCCACCTCTGGAAGGTCTCTAATAAGGACAGCAAGCAGAATTGCACTATGTCAGACCAGCAGCAGGACAGAGGCATTGCCTGCAGCAAAAGCATCAAATCTAGAGGCCCACAGTAAGGAGAAGAGACACTTTCTCAGGAATACTAATGGACAAAGTTGTATTCCTTGAAATCAAACAAGGTCCTTCAGAAGAATAAAGGAAACAGAAAAGAACTTAAACAAGAAATTACGAGGTCTAAAAGGAGGCATGAAATGTCTTTGGCAAGTAGGATTAAGGAAAATCCTAAAGTATTTTATACTTATAAAAGGGGCAAGACAGTAGCAGGGGAAAGGGCAAGTCCACTCAAGAACAAAGGAGGGAATTTATGCATGGACCCAGAAGAAGTGGGTAAGGTCCTCAATGAGTACTTTACATCAGTATTCACCAAGGAGTTGGATACGGATGATGGTAAGATAAGACAGGGGTATGTTCATATTAAGGAGGTGGTGGTGGGTGTCTTGAAAAACATTAAGGTAGAGAAGTTGCCAGGGCCTGATGGGATCTATCCCAAAATACTGAAAGAGAATAGGGAGGAAATTCCTGGAGCCTTGGCAGAGAACTGGCCACAGGCCAGTTTCCAGAAGACTGGACAATAGTTGTTCCTTTAAGATGGGCAACAGGGATAATCCAGGAAATTATAGGCTGGTGAACCTTACATCAGTGATAGGAGAATTATTGGTGAAGATTCTTAGGGACAGGGTTAACTTGCATTTGGAGATGAATGGACTTGAGGGATAGTCAGCTGGCTTTATTTAAGGGAGGTCTTGTCTCACAAATCAGATTGAGTGTTTTGAGGAAGTGATGAAGATGATTGATGAGAGTAGGCGCATGAAACCCACAGCAAGTTGGGCAAGTTGGATATAGAATTGGCTTGGTTAAAGAAGGGGTGTTTTTCTGACCAGTGATGTTCTGCAAGGATCAGTGCTGTGACCTCTGTTGCATGTAATATATACACAAATGCTTTGGATGAAAACGTAGGTTGTTTGCTTAGTAAGTTTGCAGATAATACACAATTGAGGAGTTATGATAATGAGGACGGTTGTCAAAAAGGAAACCGCAGAATTTACATCAGCTGAAAAGTTGGGTGGAGAAATGGCAAATGGAGTTTAGTCTGGATGAGTGCAAAGTGATACGTTTTGGAAAGTCAAATGCAAAAGAAAAGTATACAGTAAATGGCAGGACCCTTATCAGCATTGATATACAGAGGGATCTTGGGATGCAAGTCCATCGCACTCTGAAAATGGTAACATGTGGATAATGTGGTAAAGGCAGCATACGTTATGTTGGCTTCATCGATCGGGGCATTGAGCATAAAAGTTGGCAAGTCACTTTGCAGCTGTATCTTCAATAGACTTTGGGAAGGATGTGAAAGTTGAGAGTGTGCGGAGAAGATTGAGAATGTTTCCAGTGGTGAGGGACTTCAGTTACACGGAGAGATTAGAGGAGAACTGGTGTTGTAAAAACTTTACTTAGGCCACATTTGCGATAGTGTGCGCAATTCTGATTGCCACAGTATAAGGAGGATGTGGAAGCTTTGGAAAGGGTGCAAGAGAGGTTTACCAAGATGTTATCTGGATTGGAACGTATTGGCAAAGAGGAGAGTTTGGACAATCTTGGGTCGTTTTCATTGGAACATCAGAGGCTGAGAGGCGCCTGATAGATATATATGAAATTATGAGAGGCGTGGATAGGTTAGATAATTGGAATCTTTTTCCCCAGGGTGGAAATGTCAAATAGTCCAAGACATAGGTCTAAGGTGCAACACAAAATTTTGAAGGTGTACGAAGAAAGTTTTTTTTTGAAAAAAACAGAGGGTGGCAGGAGCCCGGAACATGCTGCCAGGGGAGGTGGTAGAAGCAGATACATTGGCAAAGTTTAAACAAGCATTTAAACAGACACTTAAATAAGCAGAGGATAGATGGATATGGACATGTGCAGGCAGACGGACCTGTTCTTATGCTGTTTTATGTGCTATGATCCCCATGGCCTGCCTCTGGCTCCGAAGGCCACCAATTATGCTGAACTAGAAGGCTGACTCAAATGGGCTCAACGCCTCTCCACACAGAAGGTTGTTATTCTATCAGTGAGAAAATACCAGTGACATTGCTCAATGGTCCTGCTCGGCCTTAATTTAGGACACAGTCATCCCTGAATCTGACTGCTTTGAAAGTACTCTGGAATTGTAACGCATCAGGAAACCATCTCGATACTTCATTCTTATTTTCCCAAGTCATAGCCTGAGAGATAAGTAATCAGAGACAATAAATAAATCATTCATTCATTCAATCATTCATCATTCGTTCATTCAAATGTAGCAAAATCAAAGGACATTTCAATAATATAGCAACATCTCACTTATTCTACTTCTCTCACCCCTTTCAATTCCACAAAACGCCTAATATGACTCAGAAATAAAGAACATGCTCCATTATAATGATCTTCAATTGCAATACATTCTCAATTGCATCTAAACTGCACCCAGTGTTCTCCATCAGTAAGTGATCAGTAATGTCTCTGAATCTTTCCCACAAATGCAAACAACAGAATGTGTTACTTTTGCACACACACTTATCATTCTTGTAAAACAAACAGGTGGAATACTTGGTCTTTGACAGTCTCAGCTTGGAGCAGTCACCAGTGTCATCATCCTGGTTCTGCTCACTTTCAATAAACGAAGGTTCAAGAGTTAATTCCAGTACTCACCTCCAGGAATATCCCAGGCTCCACTTTCACCTGGTGATAAAGGTCGCACTTGGGGACGGTTTTGCTTGAAATTTGGCAGAACCACTTTGTCTAGGTCAATGGATAACAACTTTTGGTGCTTCCAAAGGTTACTGAGGAGGATAAATAATAGAAGCTGTTCACCCATGGCACAGGCTTGTGCTAACTTCAGAAACTAAGTTTACTTCATAATACATTGTTCTGTTATTTTAAGCAAGATTCACAGTTTGCAATTTAGATTGGAGATCAACCTTTGTAGAGTGGACAAAGAAGGGCACAAAACCAACTGTCGGAAAATTCCTTCCAAAACCAGAAAATAATTGACATTTTGAATTGAAAAGTTTAAGTTAATAACTAGACCTTATATCAAAAAAGTTTGGTTTTCGTAATCATATCTTGTGGACATTTCTACATGAAGTCCAAAGTTAATTTTGTACGCTCCTCACCAGTTTAAGTCTATGTAAGGGTGATCCAATTGCATTTTCAAATTTCATAAGTCAATTATGATTGTCATAGGTTGGTTACAATGAAATTATGGTTATTTTAAAATAAGCATGTAATTCTTCTAATTAGCTCTGCATTTTTAAATGGAATCTGGTTACACAAAGTTGGCAGTACACCACAACCAATTGTGTACAGTCTCATCTTCAGAGGGGGCTTGGTTAACTTAGTGGTTTACCTCATATCCTTCAAACAGTAACGTATGCAATGGTGCCAGTTGGGAGAAAAGGCAAAAACACTTCCTTGAATGCTGCATAAAAGAGGCAAATTTGGAGGAGTTGCAGACTTAAGTGAAAGTCGTGGAATCTTGCAGAAGCAATACAATATCGTAGAGATATTACCTAATTACAATATTTTCCACCATCTTTATTTGACACCTTGAACAATGAACTCTCAAAATGGAAAGTTTTCGCTGTCATAATATGAAAAATGTCATAATTAAAAAAACGGATTCTCTGTTCATAGCAGGCCTTCTCGCAGAGAAAAATGAATGATTAATAATTGACATGTTTCATTAGCAACATGTCAACTGAGCATTTAGATCCAAGATTTGGATCAACCAACTTGTATTACAATACAGGTATATTAGGAATCTAGTTATACAACTTTGCTAAATAAGATTTCACATCAATATGGCAAACTAGACATACCTCGCTGACTTTATACAAAGGGAAAATTAGGCAGCAATTTCATTAAGGAAAGTTATATAGCCATGTCGAATTGTCAACCTAAGCAGACCACCACTGAATGTGTACTTCCCACTAAAAAGTCTCATCGCCACGTACTTTCTCTTTCTAAGCATCATTCACTTCTCCTGCCACAGAAGACTCCTGTCCCAATCTCTTCACAGATTTGCTACATACTCAAGTTCTCAGTTACAAATCACCTGACAGTTTTTGATGCTCTTCATTCCTTATTTCCATTATTCTAGAAACAATACTTGCTTTTAAAAAAAAGGTGTATCCCTTTCCTGGGAAAGCTCCTGCAAAATTCTTGTTGGGTGACTTTTCATAACCTTTGCAAAGTGTTAGTCCAGCGATTGACCACCCGCTCCCATATTTTATTCCATTTTCCCTTCTATTACTGTTTTGACTTTAAATGTGTTTGGCACATTGGAAAATTACATATTACATCGCTCTATGGTAAACTGCTAAGACTCTCTCTTCTAAATGAGGACCATACAACTCAAGGTTACCATAGCAAGTAGTTAGCTTCATTGTCTTACAAATTAGTAATGCTTTGTAATTGTTTAACCACCTCATGATTTGTACAAAGACAGCGTGACACTAACCAAGACAAAGCTATCTATTATCACACACTAACCTTGGTGCTGTCTCATTTAGAGGTTGAGGCTTGGCCCAGGATAGGTGAGGACATGCTGGAAGAGGACGAGGTTTGGGATCTGCGAGGTGCGGTTCAAGAACCTTGGAAAAACGATACAAGTGGTTGCCTAGGAATTGGGATAAAAACAAAACTAGAATTGAATGTGGTCGACTTTGACTTCAGAATAAAAAAAGTTAAAATATTTGGTGTCTGCAAGCTTCTCCATGAAAATGACAAATATACAAGCTATATGGCTAGAAACAGCATGAATCTCTACGCATGTATAGATTTGGAAGTACCTCATTTTATTTGCATTCAGTTTCACAGCTATCAAAAAGAGCAGTTTATGCCTGAACCAGCAGAGGGAGCCTGAGCATGTTTAATCAAATGCAAATTGCACAAAGACAGTGATAGAAATTCTATTAGTCATTAGGAATTTATCACCAATAAAAGTCCAGATCACCAACTAAGGTTAAATATTTGACAAATGTTGCATTTATGTGCTGTTTACACTTAAAGGAAAATTAGTAAGATATAAATGAGATTTCAAACTATGAAAATATTTTAAGGTATGTTAATAAATATGGTAGAGAATACTGCAGTGACTTAAAATGTCTCACTTTTGCGATATTTCAGTTTTCCATTTGTTAACATCAATAATTGAAAAAGTTCATCTCAATATGTAGCCAAATCCAAGAACAAGGATGACCATAAGATAAAGGGACCATCGTATGTTTACAGCTGGAACACCGAACAAACTACCACAGAACAAGATTTACTGGAGTTACGAATTTAGAAACTGCCTTACCTTCCATCCGCTCTGGTAGTGGGTGCTCAGTTCCAGATGGAGGCTGCTGCCTATTTTCAGAGTGGCTGAGGCTTGGGGGCATCACGCCGTATGAGGTGTACTGAAGGAGAGCATCGAGCAACCAGAAGCAGTCTGGGGACGAGGGATAAATGTGCACTTAGTTCTTCAGACTAAAACCAAATCCAGAACCTCATATTCAGGTGATAAAATAAAGTTCAGAAAAAAGTCAGAGAAGAAAACATTACAGACAAACCCATTAGAAGCAATCTCTTGTACCAGAACTTCCTATACATTTGCTACAAGCTAAGTGTCATTTTACAAATAGTAAGATTGCAGTAAGAGGAGGATCTTGGGGTTAGCCATTCAACAGCAAGATGAGAAATTTCTTTTCACACTCACAGACCTGCACTTTGCTGGAATTCGCAACCTAGAGGACTGTCTATTTCAGTATACGTAGGCAGAGATTGCGAAATGAAAACCAAGTGAGGAGTTGGTGAGTGAAGGAACAGCTTTTATACAAACTGTATCTCATTATACCAACACCAATCTTCAGGGAGCCTGACAACCCTGTGGGCAAGGTTATCGAAGAGTACAATGAGATCTTGTTCAGATGGGCCACTGGGCTGGAAAGTGGCAACTGGAGTTTAGATAAATGCGAGGTATTACGTTTTGGTAAGACAAATGAAGGCAGGACTTAAGAGTTAATGGTAGGGCTTTGGGGAGTGCTGTTGAATAGAGGGATCCTGGGGACGCAGGATCACAGTTCCTTGAAAGTGGGGTCTCAGGTAGACAGGGCAGAGGTGGTGGTGTTTGGCATGATTGCCTTCATTGGTCACAGCATTTAGTATAGGAGTTGGGATGTCGTGTTACAGCTGTATAGGGCATTGGTGAGGCCACTTTTAGAATACTGCATACAATTCTGGTCACCCTGCTATAGGAAGGATGATGTTAAACTAGAAAGGGTACAGAAAAAGATTACAAGGATGTTACCGGGGTTGGAGGGTTTGAGTTATAAAGGAAAGGCTGGATTGGCTGGGACATTTTCCCTGGAGCAGAGGCTTAGTGGTAACCTTAGAGGTTTAGAAAATCGTGAGGGGCATACATGAGTAACCAAGGCCTTTTTCCCAGGGTAGGACAGTCCAAAACTAGATGGCACAAGTTTAAGCGAGAGGGAAAAGATTTTAAAAGGGACCTAAAGGGCAATTTTTTCCACAGAGGGTGGTGCATGAATGGAATGAACTGCCAGAGGAAATGGTAGAGGTGGGTACAACTACGACATTTAAAATACATTTGGACAGGTACATGGATAGGCAAGGTTGAGGGGGATATGGGTCAAACACAGGCGAATAGGATTAGTTAGGTTCAGGATACCTGGTCAGCATGGACAAGATGCTGTACGACACGAACTCCGAATCTTTGGAGACCTGGAAACAAATGGCACAAGGATGGGGTGGTGATAGGTGGGGTCTTGTGGAGCTGTACCTGAGATAGGTTAGCTGTGACTTTACTGGGACAGTGGAGCAGGCCCGAGGATCTGAATGGCATCCTCTTCTAAATTAAAAACTAACGAACCATGCAGGGTCTCTATTTTCACCGCTAAACAAAGCAGGTTGTTGTACTTTCCATCCACCTGCAACCTAACATCTGTTCTCCAAGCATGTTGTGGAACATACAAGTGTGGTGAATTCAATAACAGATAGATCAAGGTCTCCGTATGCAGCAATGAACAGCTAAATAAACTTACTATACTGATGTCATTTCTTAACAATGAGAGAACAGAGTTTTATAATGATAGGTGTATTATATTTTAGAAACAGCACATGCACTACAAAATCTGTAAACAATCTCTGAGCTAGGTACTTGCAATTAGTTTATTTATTGTTCAAATGCATGCATCCTGCCCTCAAAAAATTAGAACTTACACAAATACATGATTTACAAAATAACTATATTTATTTGTAAGCATTTAGTTCTTTTGCAGGATGGATGGAGACATCCAGTGGTAAGAGCTGGAGTAAGCTTTTTGAGGCTATGCCCCAATGATCATGGCTGATCATCTATCCCAATTCTAGACTCCCCCACTCTACGCACTTTTAGAACCTAAAGGTCTATCAAAGTCCTGATAATAGAATACCCATTGCTTTGCAGGACAGAGAATTAGGAATACCACACAGACACAGACACAGACACAATTTTTGTATAGATCAAATTTTAGAGACTGACACGTTTGTTGGATTTGGGCCCAGGTAAAGACAGTGGGACTAGAATAAAATGGAAACCAACATCACAAAAGAATTCATATTAATTGTCAAACACTTATTGTATAATATTATAAGCTATATACGTTTCATCCCACAATATAAAAACATGCCCTCATGAATTAGCTACAAGACTTCAAAATGAAATCCTTCAATATTGACACCAGACCCAAGTAGGTTGTATGGTATCAGGTCTATCCTGGCCAGGGAAACCACCTGTTGATTACCACATACTGCACCACCCCTCCATCAACCCTGTCCTCAACTGATGAATCAGTGCTCTTCCATTTTAACAGCACTTGTAGGAAGCACCGAGTGGGTAAGGGCATAGAATGCCTTTCGGTGGGGGACTTGAATGTCCATCATCAATAGTAGATTGGCAGCACCACTACTGACGGAGGCAGTCAAGTCCTAAAGGACATTGCTGCTAGAGTGGCTCTGCAGAAGGCAGAGAGGAAACCAACAAGAGGGAAAGACATACTTGACCTCAATCACCAATTTGCCTGCTGCAGATGTATCAGTAAGAGTGACTTCCGCACAGTTCTTATGGAGACCAAGTTCTGTCATCACACCAAAGACACGCTCCATCGTGCTATGTGGCACTATCACTCTGCTAAATGGGACAGAATGAACAAATTGACCATTCTATCATTACCATCAAACCATGGGATTAACCCTGATTCAACGAAGAGTGCAGAATGGCATGCCAAAAACAGCAAGTCTGAAAAATGAGGTGTTAACCTGGTGAACCTTCAAAGCAGGATTACTTGCATACCAAACAGCATAAGCAAGTGATAGATAGAACTAATCAACAGATCAGATCCAAGTTCTGTCACAGTCAGTAGTGAATGGTGGCCGACAATTAAACAACTCACCTGGGAAGGCAGGTTGTTTTTTTAAATCCACAATAATGGAGAAGTCCAACACATTTTAAAACATAAGGCTAAAAACATAATGCTTCAGCTAGAAGTGATGAGTGGATGATCCATCTCTGCCTCCTCCAGAGGTCCCCAGCATCACAGATACCAATCTTCAGTCAAATCAATTCACTCCATGTGATACCAAGAACTGGTTGGAGGTTGGATACTACAAAGGCTAAGGGCCCAACAATATTCCAGCTATCAAACTGAAGGCTTGTGCTCCAGAACTTTTTTTTTTCTTTATTCATTCAGGGGACAGGGGCATCTCTGGCCAGGCAGCATTTATTCCCCATCCCTAATTGCCCAGACAGCAGTTAAAGAGTCAACCACAATGCTGAAGGTCTGGGGTCACATGTAGGCCAGACCAGGTACTAATGGCAGTTTCCTTCACTAAAGGACATTAGGGAGCCAGATAGGTATTTTTTTTCCAACAATTGGCAAAGAATTTATGGTCATCATTAGACTCTTAGTTCCAGATATTTATTGAATTCAAATTCCACCATCTGCAGAATCTCCATGGCAGGATTTGAATCCGAGTCCCCAGAACATTTCTGAAGAAGGGTCTAGGCCCGAAACGTCAGCCTTCCTGCTCCTCTGATGCTGCTTGGCCTGCTGTGTTCATCCAGCTCTACACCTTGTTATCTCAGTTTCCCCAGAACATTATCTGGGTTTCTGGCTTAACAGTCCAGCAATAATACCACTAGGCTATCGCCTCCCCTAGCCAATCTTTTCAAATATGGCTATAACACTGGCATCTGAGGTGGAAAATTGCCCAGGTGCCTTCTGTGCACAAAACGCAGGATAAACCCAACCCAGCTAATTACTGCCACATCAATCTGTTCTCGATCAACAGCAAAGTGATGGAAGATGTCATCAACAGTACTAACAAGCAGCAAAAGCTCAGCAATAACCTGCTCAGTGACACCCAGTTTGGATCACCAGGGTCACTCAGTTCCTGACCTCATTACAGGCTTGCCCCAGTGGGAGAGAAGAGATGAATTCAAGAAGAGAGATGAGGTACAAGACCCTGCCCTTGACATCAAGGTCACATTTGACACAGTGGCTTCAAGGAGCTCTAGCAAAACTGGAGCCGATAAAAATCAAGGGCAAGATTATCTGCTGGTTGGAGTCAATCCAACAATGTGCAACAGCCTTGACATTATCCGGGACAAAGCAGCCGACTTGACTGGCACCAGACCTACAAATATTCGATCACCGATGCTCAGTACAGCATGCATAGTAGCTACAAGATGCACTGCACTACAAGATTCACCAAGGCTCCTTAGACAGTACCATCCAAAGTCATGACCTCCCTCCACCATAAGATCAGAAGGGGGGATACTCGCTGAGGATTGTCCAATGTTCAACATGATTCACTTCTCAGATATTGAAGCATCTTCATGTATTTGAACATGGACTATGTACAATACCCAGGTTTGGACAGATAAGTAGCAAGTAACATTCCCACCATACAAATACCAGGCAATGACTATCTCCAATCAGAGACAAAGACAATCAATGGTGTTACCATCACTGAATTCTCCACTATCAACATACTTGGTGTCACCACTGACAGATACTCAACTGGACTCACCACATAAATACAGTGCTAGGAATACTGCATCAAGTAACTCGCCTCCTGACTCCCCAAAGCTGGTCCATCATCTTCAAGGCACAAGTCATGACTGTGATGGAACACTCCCCATTTGCCTGGATGGGTGCAACTCCAACAACACTCAACCAGCTTGACACTATCCAGGACAAAGCAGCCTACTTGATTGGCACTACATCCACAAACATCCACTCCCTCTACTACCACCACTCATTAGCATCACGTATGATCTACAAGATACAATGCACAAATTCACCGAAGAACCTTAGACAGGACCTTTCAAATCCACGAACACTTCCATCGAGAAGGACAACAGCAGCAAATACATGGGAAGACCATCACCTATCACCTGCAAGTTCCCCTCCAAGTCACTCACCACCCCGACTTGGAAACACACAGCCATTCCTTCACTTTCACTGGGTCAAGATTCTGGAATTCCCTTGCCAACAGCATTGTTGGTCTACCTACAGCACATGGACGACAGTAGTTCAAGAAGGCAGCTCACCACAACTTCAAGTGCAACTAGGGAAGGGCAATAAATCCTGGCCAGCCAGCGATGCTCACATCACACAAATGAGTTAAACACCACCCAGAAGACCAAAGGCAGCAGATACACAGGAACACCACCGCCTACCTGCAAATTCCCCAAATTACTCACCAACCAGGATTGGAAGTACAGAAAACAAAATATGCTGGAGATCACAGCAGGTCAGGCAGCATCCATGGACAGAAAGAAGGCTAATGTTTTCAGTTTAGATGACTCTACATCAGAGCTGACGTGTAGTGCAGAGGGGGTAGCATTTATGCAACAGTTGGGGTGGGGGGAAGAGGGGGTTGGGGTGGGTGAGGAGAGTGGAGTGCTGGGGAGAAAGGACGTTGATAGTTCTGATGAAGTGATCAGAACGTGAGAATGGCAGAACAATGGTGTGTCTAACTGCCACAATTTGAAGACGTTGAACTCAATATTAAGCCCAACATTTTACAACCTTCTGGACTTAATAGGGATTTAAACACCTTTAAATTGCAAACCTAATCCCATTCCTTCCCTTTCTTTTAGCTTTACTTGCTACGTTGTCACCATGACCTTTCTCCCAACCCCAGTGGGACGGTCTGTTCTTTCCAGTCTGGCAGTTAGACACACCATTGTTCTGCTATTCTCACATTCTGATCACTTAATCCACCCCTGTGTATCACTGCATAGTCCTCCTGGTCTCAAATTCCACATTTTCCAAAACTCTAACATATGAATAGAAAAAAAAATGTCACAATGCCCAAGGTTAGTATCAACAATTTATCTGATGCCAATGTACCGCACTATCAATGTACTGTTTTCAAAAATAAGCAGTATTTCTTCTTTGAAAGAATGGTAAACTAACTCTGGATGTCGGCAGGAAAGGGCAATATTTACGACAGGAGACATTAGAGAAAGCCTGCAGGGGTTAGGCAAATTCTGAACTGGGGCCAAAGACGTTAGAGACATCAAATCCATTCTGGAAAAGCCACACAGGGGCCACGAGAGTTCAGGAGCCAGATTCCGTGGAGTGGAATAACCACACCAGGGCTAAATCAAACCCACATTGGAACTGGGATTAGAGTAGGGCTGGGGCAGAGGGGAGTTCTCATTCAGTGGTCTTCACCAGGTAAAGAGAGCAGGATGCTGCCCCCTCGACTTTGACACAACCAAAATGTTCTGCACCAATAGCATGCTTGTCCTCTGGTATTAGTGAACCATCCCCAATTGTCACAGGTGCATACTTTCTTTCACAAAAGAATTTATCATATCTAAACTAGTGTTTCTTAAACTCTATAAACTAGCAGAAATCTACTTATAAATCACAGACAGCATCTATTAAATTACTATCAAGTAAATGTAATCACAAATCCCTAATAACCAACACAATTTTCACTTCAAATTGAGTGGCATACTTGTTACTCTTCCACAAATGCTTCATCTTTGATTATGTGCTGCATATCAATCTTGTCAACTGGCTGAGAGATTTCTGCTAGAAAGTCTAAAGGCACCAGCATGGGTTCTTGTACTGCAGTGGTAGTGAAAGTTCTATGCCAGAACGCCTAAGTTCAAGTCCCACCTGCTCGATGAGGTGTGTAATGACAACTTCTGAAAAGGCCGATTAGAAAACACCTAAAGACTCCTGTCCATACCTTGAAACTAATGAAGTATATATGCCAGTAAGTAATCATTAATACATAATGTGGTTTGATCCTCAAAAGTTGGGATTTATATTTATAGTAAGCAAATAGAAAATTCACTTTTTGATGCTGAAGTTATAGGGTCTACTTAAGAGCATTCAAAACACTTCTGAATGAAGAAATTTCTCCTAGTTTACACCAAGTTTAAAAGATAGACTCCTTATTTTGAGCTCTGATCGCCTAGCTAGGGGAACCAGCTTCTTTGTCGCTAGCTTTCCAAGCTAAGAATTTCAAACATTTCAAGGATTGCACTTCTCATTTTTATGAATATGAGCCCAATCTACTCAAATGACCCCTCCTGAGCTGTATCATTCCATGATTCTATACAAAGGTGGAAAATTTTTATATATAGTTGTAACAGTTTACAAAAGAATAACCATACGGAAATTAAATACTTTCATATAGATGGAGTCTAAGATATGGTGTTAACAACTATATTTAATATCCTGTTTACTGAAACAATTGCTCCTGACTGGCTACTAGGTCAAGGTGCTTAGTCTGCAAATGGGCTTTAGGTGAGGTTGGTTTTGGTCTTGACCCCATCTTCTCGCACTTACAAATTCCAACAATAATTAATCATAGTTACAAAGCATTCTGAAATAATTTAACACACTAAGTGCTTCAAATAACTGAAATAAATTCAAATTGATTGCATTAACCTACAATTAACATATGGTTTCCATTTTCAGACCAAAGTTTTTTTCTCACTTGAATATTCTAATGTACAAGGCCTTGGCTTTATGAGGAATTTTTGTTAGCTTTGAATACCTAAAGTCACTTGGTTATTTTGCAATTAACATTTTTGTTTACAGTTGTTCTCAAAAGTTGGTCTTCTTTCCGATTTTTTACAAAAATATTCTCCATTCTATTCTATTGCTAGTTTGCTCAACTCTGTACACTTCCTGCCACATCTAGGTTTATGATCTTATTCAGGTCTTACACTTCCAGACTGGCAAAGATGGCTACAGATCAGCAATATCATTAAACACGTTAGAAGAATGAGCATGCTCAACAGAGTGTATTTCCAGGTTTGATCCGGTCAAAAATGGAACAGCAGCTACTGGTTCTCCAGGTTTTTCATTCAGTTTTTGACCTGCTGGGAGGTGGTCATATCATTTGATATTGAAAGTAGTACAAATTAAGATTAAAAAGGAGAAAATTTCCCTGGACTTTCCCAAAACAAAGCTTAGCGGATGCAATCCTGACCGAAAATAGTAATTTTGTGGGTGGTTCTTTCGAACAATGCAATTGCACATGCACATGCACAGATAGGTAACAAACTAACATTTGGAAACAAACACGCGGAAAATTTGTTTCAGTAATTTCACTGCACTCTTTCATGGTTGCAGCTGGTTGCAACTACAGACTAAGACTGCTGAATTTTCAAACACTTCTTTACTGCATCTAAGTGAATACAAATGCATGAAACAGGGCTCTAGGTTTCAAAAACATGGTTTCGAAGCTAACAAAGTTCAGCAGTAACATATCATATTTAAATTAGTCTAACATCCCACAGCACTTCGCAGGAGCATTATTAACAAAATCTGACATTCACAACAGAAAATAATTGGAACAAAAACTACCCAGGCAATTCCATCAGATTTTATTTATAAAAAAAGCACAAAGCTAGACAACAGGTTGCAAATCAACGCAGTTTGTTTTTAAAAACGGTTAATGGAAGATTTCAGTCATTGCTGATTTTGACCTGGAGGTCCAGATGACAAGAGCATTTATCAGATCTGGAAATTCTCACGTTGCAACACCCTACCACGGATGCTTGTTAAATTCAAGATTTAAAATTATTGAGATCAAAATCAAAAAACTTTTCAAATTAAATTTGCTGCATACCCAGGAATTCAAATGAACCTCAATATCTTATGCTTAGCACTGATTACAGGCTGCAGTGCAATTAAGGAATGCAGATGGTTTACATTTGGAACAATAAATACTGCAAATTATTGCAAAACAGTCATGAAACAAAGCATACAGGTAACAAACAATGAAAGGATGTCATTAATTTTCTGAATTTTAGCTATAACCTGTAATTACAGCTTTTTTTTAATATACAGTATCTTGCAGACTTGTCTGGGTAGTTTTGTCACTTTACGCTCAATTTGTTTTAATCATTGTAAATGCCAATAGCCAAAATATTCCATGTAATTAATACATACTGAACACCACACAAGTCTGCTGCAATTATTACGAGACAGCTAAACTACAGCTTACTAAATTATATAATTGAGTTATCAGCCAATCATCTGGCTATCCACAAGGTGGGGTCAGTTTATGTCTGATGACCACCATTCTCAAAGCCAGACACTACTGGATGTGCAATTGGAAGTCGGTTTGTTTGAATACTGACCAAAAGGTTGCATTTACTGTTCAGTGGTAGAGACAAATCAAAGAAATGGAGAACAAATTTTGAGTATGCAAGGATATTGGGATCTCAACCAGGAGCACTTTGGGAGAAAATGAGTAATTTGGCATCTGCTGTAAAAACAGGTATATATTTAAGATAGGCCATTTTAGATGCTGCAAATTTCCCCTAAACCAAGACTATGTGCATAGAAATACAAGTCAAGCAAGTTTTCTTTTTACCTTTTTGTCTATGACTATCATCCAGACAATTGGAATCGCCGTACAAGACAATCCGCCCACCACCATCAGACGGTGTCTGATACAATCCAAGAATAGGAACATTTTTAACGACAGTTGTTTCTTGTTTTAAAACTTCTAGACCTGAAAGACGCAAGATGAATAAGTCATGGTTGGTTTGAAAATTAAATCCTTTACAAGGAAAGGAAACAAAACCTCCTGTGCATGAATTTCCCTTAATATTTGATAAAAAACTCCTAGCATGAAAAAAATTGCAACAAATCAGAAATTAGAAGTAAATTAAAATCAATTTCACAATTAAACAGATGTTCAATTTAGGTTTTTCCTGGAAATGTTATCAGCTTCACTGGTCACAAAATCAAAGAGGAATGCAGTCATGACAATCTACAGCACAGAAACTGAAATTCCAATTAATTATAAAGGTCAAGAAAAATCAATCCGCTATTTTCATGTGAAGGCATTAGAGAGCACGCAGGGATGAGGAACTTTAGCGACAAACTGTCTCAGTCTTTCTATGTAACTGATGAGAAGGTTGAGCAGCAATCTGATAAATGCATTCAAAGTCATCAGGGGTCTGTACAAACTAGATCAAGTGAAACTGCTCCCAATGGTGACAAGATCAAGAACTACAAGGCACAGATTTAGGGTAATTGGTTTTAATAGTAAACGGGAAAGGAAAAAACGGCACAGGAAAAACTCTCTCATGCAGGGGTTGGTTTGGATTCTAGTATGGGAACACCCTGACTGATTTCTAGTGGATAAGATATCAGCAGTTGCCAAAAGGCAACTGGATCATTATCTGAAAACAATCCATTTGCAGGACTATAGGGAAAAAGGTAGATGAGCGGAACTAGGTTAATTGCACCTCAGCGAGGTGCCATAGAAATGATGAGCTGAATGTCATCCTTCTATGCTCTAATCATTTTAATATTCTAGTCAATGATTAGTTGGAATCTTACATCCTGACGTCTTGCTACATTAGGAGGTTAAACAGCCGCTCTATATATCTGCATTCTAGTCAATGTATAAAGGTTTATAGGAATTACATAAAAGGCAATGCAACTAAAAGCAACAAATCTTTCAAACGCATGCAACTTCATAAATTGAGTCATCAATGCAACCTTTGATTGAGAGCCTCCTGTAATCTAATCACATAAGAAAAAAGACAAGATGACTGACCAGTAAAAGGAACTGAATATTTAAACATTACATTACATCTCTTAACAAAGGGCCAATTCACTTACAACAAAATCATACTGTGATAAATCCTACATTTGGTTTATTTTGAATAGGATTTCTCTAGTATTGACATACTCATATTTCCTGGCAAAGTGATAGCAGTACAAGTAAGCACCGCCTGCAGGTTGTTAGTTTCATTTCAAATTAATTTGACTCATTGTTAAACGGAATGCTAAAACGTAAATGAAAATCAATGTTCGTCCTTTGAGATTTGTTGACACGATGACAAACATATCCCTTGACAGCCTCCTCATATAGCACTACCTAAAAATCCCACTTCAGAAATAGCAACAGACTCATGACTCCAAAATAAGCAGAGCTTAATTATTTATTCCAATCATAATGCACAACAGCAGGTAAGAGCTCATTTATGGAATTATTTCTGCATCTGGTAGCAGCAATTTTATTAAGGTCTTGATTCACCTTACTATCTTTAATGCTTTGCACACTTCATTTTATCTAAAACTCGAGCAGAATCAATCCCTTCTTAAATATTTCCATTTAGATCTTGAACTAGCTAGTGTTTCAACCTTGTCATTTTAGTCAGTTCTGAGCTTTTACCTTTATGCTGTATCAGGTCATCTGCCAGGATACTTCTCAAATTTTGGAACATTATGCATTGAACCTCCTTCACTTTGCTGAAACTGCAATTCACATCTTCATCATCTTGAACGCCTTTCGGAACGTTCAAGTGATCATGCTTCCTTCCACTTGTTCTACTTTCCTTTACCCTTCCACTTCCTTCTCTCCTTCTTCAAAAGTTTCTTAAAAATTCATTATTTTCTGCATTTGGATTGTTACAACTCCTGTTCCATTTCCTATATTTCTTTTAACATAAGCAAAAGGCCTAAGCAATTCTAACTGAAAGGTGTTGTATCAATTTGTGCAGCTGCAAATAATATTTCTTATCATCACCATTGTTCCCTTCTGCACTGATTGTCTAATCTTTCAATTCATGAAGCAGTCTGGACAGTGATTACCGGCAGATCAAATACCCAGTAAACCCCCAAGCCCCAATTAAAACCCTCTGGACACAAAGATAATAGAATTTAAGTGGTGCATTATTTGCCCAATTAACAACCTATCGATCAGTGGGTGGTATTTCAATCAGGTTCCTCCCACCCCCACTAATCATGGGACAGCTTTTCCTTCAATGGAAATCAGAGATAGCCATCCCCATCTGACACATTCAACTTTGCACCTCCATCCCCAACCATGTCATCATACCTGCTTCAGCAGATTTCACTGAACCTTGCCAAGGTTTGGGACTGTTGAAAGCTGAGTTGTGGCGACTGATAAGACTGTCATAGACACCTTGACCAGAAAGGACAATCTCCTCTTCTAGCAGCATGGCCTGTGCCTGTTCACAGTGTCATGTTACATTCGAAGGAGAATGCCCACTACTGTGGACTGTGGGGCAGAAAACTCAAATTCAGAAACAACTCCTTCAAAAATCAGCATAACTGCTCCATGTAGAGTTCTGACATTTGAAGCAGTTACAGAAAGTAAACATCACAGAATCAAAGCAATATATTGATAATTCTCTCTCACAAGCAATAGTTTAACAAACAATGTACAGATTTAGGAATGAACTATTTGACTGCCCTTACGTAAGCAGTAGTGAAGAACAAGATATTTAGGATCCTTTAAATAGGTAAAGAGAGAAATGTCACACAACAGTTGCAATTTGATTCCCAGAAATCAGGTCATCTTTCATTCCCGTTGCTGCAATACTTAAATCAAGAAACATGACCAACTTGACTACTTCAAACCCTACAAGGGAAGGAGTAAAATACAGCTGCTAAATTAAAAGTTCCTACCTTGATCTTTCAGAGTTTGAGCAAGAACAAGACCATCCTCAGGAAACTTAGCAATACTGCTCCCTGAAGCATAATACACTGAAAACAAAAGCATTTTACTTTTATTCCAGAATATTTCATTAAACCATACCATGAATTACCATGCAAAGCAGTTTATAGACTGCTCATCTTGCACTAGAACATATTGATGGAGCATAAAGAATAACATTTCAAGCACCAGGCCAAATGTTGCGCTAAACCTTGGTTACACCAGAGTACCATGTGGAATTCTGGTCAGATTATAAAAGGGATCTAGACAGACTACAGACTGGGTGCAAAGACTATTTTAAGAATGGCACCAGAAGTGCATAGGTGTACATATCAGGGAAGGTTTGACAGACTGGCTCCAGGAAGGCTGAGAGGTGATCTAATAGGTTTTTCCAAAGTGGACATAAAAAAAAGCTTCCTCTTATGGTGAAGAGCTTAAATCAAAGCCAAATATTACATAGCCAGCATGAAATCCAGTGGGAATTCAGAAGAAACTTCCCTGCTTAAGTTAATTGTATACATACATAACAGAGGCTAGACAAACATGAAGCAGAAGGGAACAGAAGATTACAATGGTACATTTAGATGAGGAAGAAGCTCAAATGAGGCACAAATGCCAGCAAGCATTAGTTGTACTTAAGAGCCTGTTTTTGTGTTATATGTCCAAGTAGTAATATAAATGCAGGTTGTTCATACAAAGGCATGACTTTCTGTACAGAAAATGCATGCATAAGAATTTACATCATCGCCAGTATTCATTTCTGCACATTAGGGCCTGAACCTTACTATCCCAGCCTTGATGTGACCATAAGGATAGCACCAAATCAACACAGAGCTTTCAAAAAGTGTGGTAGGCGTCTTTCAGAGTACACTGAGGAAAATAAAATTTTGAAACAAAAATAAATTGCTGGGAAAACTCAGCGGGTCTTGCAGCATCTGTGGAGAAAAAGCAGAGTTAATGTTTTGGGTCCAGTAACCCTTTCTCAAAATGGATCTGAGTTTTCCCAGCAATTTGTGTGTCTTTCTGATTTCCAGCATCCGCAGTTCTTTGGGTTATTTTTTGTTTAATTAAAAATTTTGGTTTCTTTGGGCATGAAGTTGGAGAGAAAAATAAGAGGTCAAGATTTGTTATAAAACTCCGGTTCATTGAACATTAAAAAAACATCACCCATGGATTATTTTGCTGCTAGCTTAGTATATTCACAAGATCTTTTATATTTATTAATTTTTTCATATTGAAATATAGTTTCATATAACATGCACAAAATTTCAATTACAAAACTGTAGCCAGCTCAAAGCAAAACAGTTAGAAACTTACTGTCATGATTTGCCATGCTGAAATCTCCTTCATATAAGCCATCACCGAAAGCCATGCCCCATACAGATAACAGGTCATTAAGTGCTGGGATGTTCGCACCTCCCGTGTCTGGCATCCACCACTGCCTACGACAGATAGACATGCAAAAAGAATTACCAGTAGGTACTGCTTTAATCATTTAATTCAAATTAACAAAAAATGCACTGAAAAGCATACCTTATGTTCCAACTCATTTTTTTTGCCTTCCTCTTTAAAACCATGACTGCTTCTGAGTTACACTCAAAAGTTGCCATCAGTCTGTCAGCATCCAGTATTCATCTTCCATATACCCCTGATGGCCATTCAAATATCATCTTACCATTAAACCATACTTGTATCATAGCTAAATGTGATTTTGTTTGCATTCAACATTCAGATGAACATTATCTAGGATAACTGGATACTAAAAAAGAACATAAGAATATAAGAACTAGGTGCAGGAGTAGGCCATCCGGCCCCTCGAGCCTGCCCTGCCATTTAATAAGATCATGGCTGATCCACTTACCCGCCTACTCACCATAACCCTTAATTCTTTTACTGTTCAAAAATTTATCTAGCCTTGCCTTAAAAACATTCAGCGAGGTAGCTTCAACCTCTTCACTGGGCAGGGAATTCCACAGATTCACAACCCTTTGGGTGAAGAAGTTCCTCCTGACCTCAGTCCTACATCTGCTTCCCTTTATTTTGAGGCGATGCCCTCTAGTCCTAGTTTCACCTGCTAGTGGAAACAACCTCCCTGCCTCCACCTTATCTATTCCCTTCATAATATTATATGTTTCTATGAGATCTCCCCTCATTCTTCTCAATTCCAATGAGTATAATCCCAGTCTACTCAGTCTCTCCTCATAATCCAACCCTCTCAACTCTGGAATCAACCGAGTGAATCTCCTCTGCACCCCCTCCAGTGCTAGTATATCTCTTCTCAAGTAAGGAGACCAAAACTGCACACAGTACTCCAGGTGTGGCCTCACCAGGACCCTATACAGCTGCAGCATAGCCTCCCTGTTTTTAAACTCCATCCATGGAGCAATGGCAGACAAAATTCCATTTGCCTTTTTAATTACCTGCCGCACCTGCAATCCCACCTTCAGCGATTCATGCACAAGGACACCCAAGTCCCTCTGCACAGCAGCGTGCTGCAATTTTTCACCATTTAAAACATAGTCCATTTTGCTGTTATTCCTACCAAAATGGATGATCTCACACATATCAACATTGTACTCCATCTGCCAGACCTTTGCCCACTCACTCAGACTACCTATATCCCTCTGCAGACTTTGTGTCTTCTGCACACTTCGCTCTACCACCCACCTTAGTGTCATCTGCAAATTTTGACACACCACACTTAGTCCCCAACTCCAAATCATCTATGTTAAAAAAAAAAAAGGGTTACTGGTCTCAAAACATTAATTATGCTTTCTCAGTACAAATGCTGTCAGATCTGTGGAGTTTTTCCAATAATTTCTGTCTTTGTTTCAAAGTCTTTTATCCGTTTAACTTGTAAATCTAGATCAACTATGTTTGAAAATTTAAAGTTGATGGCCAGCAAATTACTCAACCTTTATTTTCAACTCTCAAGTTAAAAAGGAAAGCCTTAATCCAGGTTAACACAAGATATTAATACAACGAGGTAAACAAGAGGTTCCTTCAGAGCAAGTCATATTATAGAACTATTGACATCAAATAAAAATCCTCAGTTTGAAGATGAAAATCTTGACTCAAATCACAGATTACCTCATGACCAAGTTAGTACAAACTAAAATGTTGATAATATCAATGAATCTAATGCTAGAAGAGGAGGAATGAGAATATTTGGGTATTAAAGGAATGAGTATTGATTAGCTGAAGGGCCTTCAGTCACCATAAAAGGAAGAAACTTCTGGAGATCCAAAAACTGTTTCAACATTATTTGGGAAAACAATATAACATGTGATTTTGCTAAATTGATAGCTCTTTCTCAGATTATATTCCCATGAGATACTTTGTTCGAAGCAGACAAGAAAAGGACAAGAACAAATGAACTACAATAAGCTTATACCTTGTATTTTCATCATAGAATTTCACTTTTCTCATTACAGATGTGTTGTACCAATCACTGAAGACTATTACAGAAAGGCCATTATCAACATCACGCCTCAGTTTAGTAATTTCCTCAGGAAAGTATTCTTCTTCACTGTCTACCATTAACAAGGTACCTGCAGGAGTAAAAGCAACATCAGTTCATAGATGGAAGCGTATCTTAACAGTTCAAATGACTGTATTAAATTGGCTTAAAATGCAGATAACCAAAGAACCACTTTTCAAACCAGCCCAAATCCTGGCTAGGGTATGCCTTTGGCTGAAAAGTTGGTCAAACTTCAAAAAATAGTTTCAGAAAGTACACCAAAAATATTCACCAGAAGACTGTGTCTTGGAAATAGACCGGTGTCTTGGAAAAAGACTGTGCAACCAATGCTTCAAAGCAAGACAAATTAAATATTGTTTACTTGACAAATACTTATCTTCAATATCTGAATGCAATTCAACCACAAATTTCATCTTTCAATAGTTTACATTGTAGGCATAGACCTAGGACACTACTCTGAGGACATCAATGCAGATGTTCCTAGGACAAAGGTGATTGGCTTCCAACAACCACCGCAACTTGAGCACACAACCTTCACGTATGACTCCCAAAGAGTGGAGTGCTCTCCCTCTGCTAATTCCAATAGGGTTCGATTTCACCAGGACCCAATAATGCCAAGCTTGCATTAAATGCTGCGCTGATGCCAAGGCCAATCAATCTCACCTTTCCTGACCATGTTTGAACTAAGACTGTAATGAGGTGAGAAGCTGAGTGGCCTGAACTCAAGCTGAGGATTACTGAGAAGGTTCATGCAAGTGTTGTTTGACAACACTATCAATGACACCTTCAATAAATTTATTGATGATCTACAGGAGGTTGATGGAGCAATAAAATATTACATTAGATCCGTCCATCTTCTTTACAAAAAGACATACCTTTTTAATTTTGATGGGAGGGTTGAAGTCAGTTAACTCATTTGAATGGATGGCTGGTTTTCAATACAGAGTGACATCAATAACATGGGTTTGAATGTCCCCCACACTGGCTGAGGTCACCATGAAGATCATACCTTCTTAACCTTACCCCTTGCTTGAGGAGTGGTGACCTTCAGTTTAAAATCTCTACCAGTCATGTCTCTCTAATGGGAGAGCAACCCTATGATCTGTTAAGTTTAGGACAACTTTATCTAGGAAACAGAACAGTCGATTTGTGCTCAGCAAGCGGCCAATGACAGTTGTGCGACAGCAATCGGATGCGATGTGTCTGGGCAACAATCGACATTGTTAGGCACATGGCAGCACTGTAGCTGTGCTAGAACAGCTTAATTGGGCTGCAGTTATTTCTAGAGCACAATTCCTCAATACGATTGCTGAAATGTTGTCAGGGCCTATAGTTTGTAGTATCCGTCACCTTCAGCCACTTTTTCATATCACATAGCACGAATACATCAATAATACTGGCGAGTTAAGGATAAGCCTACGTAGATTATCCACTGAACATTTCTAGCTGAATTTAATAGCTCCCAGTCAACATTAAGGCAGAAGTATGAATACTGATGATGGAGGTTTCAGAAAATGACCAGATTCTCTCTTGCTGGGGATGGTCATTATTTACTACTTGTGTGGTGTGAATGTTATTTGCCATTTCTCAGGTCTACTGTGTGCTTCAATACCTGAGGAGCTTGGAATACCGTAGTATTGAACACTGTACAGTGAACACTCCTAATATTGACCTTGGGATGGAGGGAAGGTGTTCGCAAATAGGAGTTAAATGTAAAACCTACCATACTGGCTGGCATCAAAACAGGTGATGGGTGCTCCAAGCACCTCTACAAAATAGCCCATGCTTCGCAAATGCTGGTACATATCCCGAAAATTGGTGTGCACATGGTCACCATTCCTAAGTGAAAGAAATAGGATGTGTACATTGGATCAGTTTCTTTCATTGTTGAAATCTTAAATTTAAACGTTTTGGGGAAATTAGCAGAAAAGAAAGGCGACTGTGTGAAATTATCAACTGAAAAATAACCAGCAGCACAGCAAAAGAAACGTCACTTCCAAACGAGTTACACTTTGACATATCTTTGTGGGTCATCTAAAATAGCTTGGAATTATGGTTAGAATATTCTTTAAGAGTGATTTTTCTGAAAACATATTAGTACCAATAAGCTGAACAAACCTTACAACTATCAACTTATCAAACTGGATCACATCAAGTATCTCCTTCCTCTGCCAAAACCATTCACTAAGGCAGGACTATAGTGAAGATAACATCCAGCTTCTTTTCTCCACCATCAAGTCTCAAGCTATTTATCTTGCTCCCTCTAACCCAATCTTCAAACTTGCAAGGAACTGAGTTTTCTTCCCCTTCCCTTGGTCAAAGCCCTTGTCAGATTTTTCTCGTTTTTGATACATCCTCCTTCTTAACACCATTCATATCTTTGAAATACATCTCCTATTCCTTTGATTCTAATACAACTAGACAGCTACCAACCCAGCTTTCCTATCTGCACCATCTTAGGCTGCCATTTATCAGGTACTGCCTGCTACCCTTTAAAAGTATCCATTAAGGTAGGAAACAACAGAAATATAGACTATTTCTTAAATGGTGAGACACAAGGGTGTTGAACTTCAAAGAGATTCAGGTGTCCCTGAAAATCAACATGCTGGTACAGCATGCAATTTTTAAAACATTCATTCACAGGATGTGGGGCAGTAAATGCTCGTATAGCCAGTGATGCCACCTCCAAATGCCCTACAGGTGGTGATGGTAAGCTGTCTTCTTGGACAGCTGCTGTCTATATTATTCAGGTACACCTGCAATGCTGTTAGGGTGAGAGTTCCACAATTTCAAAGTGAAGATAGTGATGTAGTCCAGAGTCAGGATGTTGTGTGGTTTGCAGGTGGTTGTGTTTCCACACATCTGATCTTGGCCTTCTGGGTGGTAGAGGTTACTGGTTTGGAAGGTGCACCCAAAGAGACTTGGTGAATTGTTACAGTGTATCTTGCAAGTGGCATACTCTACCACCACTGTTTCAGCAGTGTTGAAGGCGTTACATGGTTCGAGAGAGTGTTGTTGTAGACTCAAAAGAAAGCAGAAAAGGATCATTCGATCTGGATTTCTGGCCGAAGATCATTGCGAGTACTTCAACCATACCTCCTGGTGTCCTGGGCTGCCACATCATTGAGTTTAGAGACATTTGCTGGAGGAGGCAGTTCCACAAGTTGGTTAATTGTCCATCATCATTCACATCTGGACACGGCAGGCCTGCAGAGCTTGTATCCGATTTGCTGGAAGTGGGTCACTTAACTTAGTCTATTGAATATAAGACCAGAGGGTTTTTGACAGGTTGGATGTGGAGAGGACGCTTCCTTTTACAGGAGAATCTTGAACTAGACGTCACTGTTTAAAAATCAGGGGTCACCTATTTAAAACACAGATCTTCCCTCAGAGGGTGGCAAGTCTTTGGAACACTTCCTGGGAAGGTGGTCGAAGTAGGCTCCTTGAATCTTGAAAGTGGAGGAAGATAGATTCTTCTTAAGCAAGGGTGAGGCAGAAATGCAGATTTAAGGTCACAATCAGGTCATCCACGACTTTGATGAATGGCAGATCAGGCTCGAGGGGCTGAACATCCTACTCTGGTTCCTAATTCATGTTTATATTGCATGTTGCTTATGCTGCGTACGGGAGACATGATCTCGAACTGGAGGACAAGTCTGAGAATAAAGAGACAAGCCATTGTGGTGTGAGATGCAGAGGAACATCTTCCTTCAATGGATGATGAATCTTTGGAGTTTTCTGCCCCACAGCATCGTGGAGGTTGTGTTTGAGGATATTTAAGATTGAGATCAATAATTGAAAACATCAAGGGATATGAAGATAGTGCAAGAAAATCATGAAGATGATTGGCCACTATCTCATGTTATATCATCCACAATCCTTCTATTACTGCATTTCCAACCTCCTTTGCATCATTAATACGGTTGAATATACTATGGCATCCAAATCCATGTTGGAAAACTCCTCTCTGGTTTCTCTCAATTTCAAAGCTGAATTTTTGATAAGAATAAACAACATTGAATCAAAGATAGTAGGAACTGCAGATGCTACAGAATCTGAGATAACAAGGTGTAGAGCTGGATGAACACAGCAGGCCAAGCAGCATCAGAGGAGCAGGAAGGCTGACGTTTCGGGCCGAGACACTTCTTCACAAATGGGGGGAGGGGAAGGGGATTCTGAAATAAATAGGGAGAGAGTGGGAGGCGGATAGAAGATGGATAGGAGGAGAATATAGGTGGAGAGGAGACAGACAGATCAAAGAGGCAGGGATGGAGCCAGTAAAGGTGAGTGTAGGTGGGGAGTTAGGGAGGGGATAGGTCAGTCCAGGGAGGACAGACAGGCCAAGGGGGCGGGATGAGGCTAGTAGGTAGGAGATGGGGATAGGTAGGCGGGGACAAGTTGGGCTGGTTTTGCGATGCGGTAGGGGGAGGGGAGATTTTGAAGCTTGTGAAGTCCACATTGATACCATTGGGCTGCAGGGTTCCCAAGCGGAATATGAGGTGCTGTTCCTGCAACCTTCGGGTGGCATCGTTGTGGCACTGCAGGATGCCCAGGATGGACATGTCGTCTGAGGAATGGGAGGAGGAGTTGAAACGGTTCGCGACTGGAAGGTGCAGTTGTTTAGTGCGAACCGAGCGTAGGTGTTCCGCAAAGCGGTCCCCAAGCCTCTGCTTGGTTTCCCCGATGTAGAGGCAGCCACAACGGGAACAGCGGATACAGTATACCACATTAGCAGATGCACAGGTGAACATCTGCTTGATATGGAAAATCTTCTTGGGGCCTGGGATGGGAGTGAGGGAGGTGGTGTAGGGGCAGGTGTAGCACTTCCTGCGGTTGCAGGGAAAAGTGCCGGGTGTGGTGGGGCTGGAGGGGAGTGTGGAGCGGACAAGGGAGTCATGGAGAGAGTGGTCCCTCCGGAAAGCAGATAAGGGTGGGGAGGGAAAAATGTCTTTGGTCGTGGGGTCGGATTGCAGATGGCGGAAGTGTCAGAGGATGATGCGTTGGATCCGGAGCTTGGTGGGGTGGTACGTGAGGACGAGGGGGATTCTGTTTTGGTTGTTATTGCGGGGAGGGGGTGTGAGGGATGAGTTGCGGGAAACGCGGGAGACACGGTCGAGGGCGCTCTCGACCACTTGGTTTGGGGGATGGGGGTGCGGTCCTTGAAAAACGAGGACATCTGAGATGTTCGGAAGTGGAATGCCTCATCCTGGGAGCAGATGCGGCAGAGGTGAAGGAATTGGGAATAGGGAATAGGGGATAGGGGATGGCATTTTTGCAGGAAGGTGGGTGGAAGGTGGTGTATTCTAGGTAGCTGTGGGAGTCGGTGGGCTTGAAATGGAACTTGTTTCTTCATTTCATCAATTAGGAGCTGGATCTTGATTTCTCTCTCTTGGCCACTTTGCAGTGGTGTACAGCGATATCTTCACTGCCCTGCAGTCAGGTTAGTGCACAAATATTTGCTGAAAGAAAGCAAACTGCTTTATCTACAACATCACAGATTAACTTGTAAAAGTAAACTTGCACGATTAATTTAAGGTTGGCTTTCCCAGGTAAGCTCTGTCCTGCTGAGCAGTAGCAAAGCAAAGCACTCTATCACTGTCTGCCAAAAGCTTTAGTAATGGATTTAAGGTCTACAAAATAATAGTACCAACTGAACCAAATAACACTGTTAAATTAGGAGCTTGTGCTCTGAGCTCCGTTAAGTACTTTTTTCCTTCCAGAGCAAAAATGTCGATAGAGATAGTAGGAACTGCAGATGCTGGAAAACCTGAGATAATGAGGTATAGAGCTGGATGAACACAGCTTTTTCCTTAGAAGAGGCTTCGCAGTGGGGTTCCTACTACCTCTGGTACAATTTTAACCCCACTGCAAAGCCTCTTCTAAGGAAAAAGCTGTGTTCATCCAGCTCTACAGCTTGTTATCTCAGATTTTCCAGCATCTGCAGTTCCTACTATCTCTGATACAATTTTAACCACACTGCGAAGCCTCTTTTAAGGAAAAACCTATGATGCTGCTTG